GATAGCCCCACTGTGTGTATTCTCCCCATAGCCCCACTGTGTGTATTCTCCCCATAGCCCCACTGTGTGTATTCTCCCCATAGCCCCACTGTGTGTATTCTCCCCATAGCCCCACTGTGTGTATTCTCCCCATAGCCCCACTGTGTGTATTCCCTCCCCTAGCATGTGCATAGACTCTAGAGGAGTTTTTTTTCTTATTTATTTTTTATTGCTTTATAAATAATACCATTCAAAATTTTCACTTCCTCCCCTCCTCCCACTTATCTCTCGCTCCCCCAGTCACCCTCCCCCCACTCCCTTTCAGTGCAGTTTTTTCTTTTTGAGTAGGGTTTCTCTATATTTTTAGGTTGGCTTCGAACTCACAGAGATTTGTCTGTCTCTGCCTCCTGAGTGCTGGGATCAAAGGCGTGCGCCACCACCGCCTGGCCTAGAGCAGTTGTTCTCATTCTCCCTAATACTTGGACCCTTTAATACAGCTCCTTATGTTGTGGTGACCCCCTTCCCATCACCAGGAAATTACTTTCATTGCTATTCCATAAATGTAATTTTGTTGCTCTTCTGAATTTGTAATGTAAATATCTGTGTTTTCACAGATGGTAGTTGGGGGTCGCGACCCTCAGGTTGAGAATTACTGATCTAGAGACTCCTTTGATAGGTAGAATATGGCAGAAATTACAGGATGTCCTGAGATTGGAAAGTGAATTCCAACATGGCCCTCCTGCCTTCCCATCCTCTTCCCCTCCCTTCTCTCTCCCCACTTCTCTCTTTTTCTTTACCTGACTTGTGAGGAAACCTGAGGCCTCTTGGACAGCTTATGGATAGGCTCTCCTGCCAGCAACCTCTTGAGTGAACCTGAAGGCAGATTCTGCAGCTCTGGGCAAGGGTTAATATGGCTGCACCTATCTCCTACAACTGTCCCCAGAGACCCGGAGCCAGGGCACCTGGCTAAGTCTTACCCAGATTCTTGACTCCTGCCACCAGGAAGACAATAAGGGCTTTTTGGTGTTTGGGGGTAATTCATTATCCAGTGATAAATTCATTAATGCAACAGTTTTGGTAATTGTATAGCTAAAGTGAGTTTAGAAGCTAAAATTTCACGTCATTTGTTGAAAGAGTCATAGAAAAATCACAGAACTGAAACTCTCCTTCTCTCTTTGAGAAGATCCAGCTATAATTAGAGTTTAAACAGGACATTGTAGAAATCTCTCATAGGGATTAACACTAATTAGAAGAAATAGGCATTTTGTAGAGTTTAGCTGTCGTCTTACAATAAACATTCATTTCGTGATAACATACTTTTAAAATGAGGTATGTGAGCGTGCGTGCGTGTGCATGTGTGTGTGAACAGTTTAAGCTAACGTTTGACCAGATTTTCATTATTGGTTGAGGGAAAGAGAAACAGGAGTATTTAGATACACCTCAGAAATGGGTTATAGGGCCAATGACGTGGTTCAGGGAGTAAAGGCTCTTGCTACCAAAACCGAGGACTTGAGTACAATCCCCAGAACCCACATGATGGAAGGAGAGAGTGACTTCATAACATTGTTCTCTGATCTCCATACACATGCCTTGACACACATGTACACACACACAGACACAGGCACACAGCATACAGGCACACACACTAAATAAAAATGTAATAAAAAAGCTTATAAACTAAAATTACTTTGCCCTTAGCGTGTATATATATATATATATAAAATGTGTGTGCATATATACATGCACTTTACACAATTAAAATATGGTTTGGTCAAAGAATAAATAAACAATATTTTAGAAATACGGTTCACTGCTATGGGACTCCGAGAGCAACATTTCACCGTGCTGGGAGACTGAACCCAGGGCCTTGCACACACCATGTGTGCATTGTACTAGTGAGTTGCATCCTTGGCCCAGGAACAAAACAACTGGACATTACTCTGAGTCCCCCTATATGGGTGAAACATCTCAGTACAGCTCTAACGTTTAAAGATCTGACAAGCAATTATTCTAAAAAAAAAAATGGTGCAGACACTTTGGGTTTTTCTAGAAATTGAAAAGTATACATGCCCGTTTCCTTAATGGCAACCAAGCATTTCTTGCTATTATTACAAACATGGTGAACACTATGCTATGGAGTTTTAGAAATCATGGTACCTTTAAAATGAACTGAGCACTACCGCAATAAAGAATGAAAGCATTCTTTTGGAGTGGTGTGTCACTCAGGCTCTAGGGCTTGGCGACATGACTCAATAGTTAGGCTAGCTTTGTGCTCTTCCAGAGCCACATCTCAGTCCTTATTACTGATTAAAGACATTGCTGGATGATATTGTGTTGTCAAGCCTGTAAGATATGATTACTGATCAGCAGTTCTTTGCGTGCATGTTTTTCTTTTATTATTTGAGAATTTTATGCATGTGTACAATACGTTTTTAAATAAAAGCTACTCCTCCTGCCTCCTCCCAGTGTCTCCCATACCTCCTCATAACTTTTCATTTCAAACTCATATACTATTTTTTTTTAACCCATGAGTCCATTTAGGGATGCCAGTAAGTGTGCGGGTAGGGCCATCCACTGGAGCAGGGGGGACGTTGCACATCATAACCCACACAGCAGCTGGGGCTGCGCGTATCAGACAAGATCAAGACAGCTAAAACTCCAGCAGGAAGCAGGGCAGGCCTCACCAAGCCCCACCCATAGCTGCAGGTCTCTTTGCACGTTTCTTTTTTGGCATTCTCTTTATCTAAAATGGCCTTCTCCTTCATATTAATTCAACAAAACAAACTTTCATGTAAGATCCTCCTCAGTGGTCCCCAATTTCATGAATTGCAGGCTTACTCTATCTTGGTTTTTATCTGTTGCCCTGGTGACTAGAACTGATCTGGCTTTCTTCTCAATCTTTCCACACATCATTCTGTGGTCACTTCTGTCATCTTTTATCTCTCTCTCCCTCCCTCCCAATTTCATCGTTTCTCATCATCATCGGCCCCTTTGCCCTGCCTCCACTATATTGGAACAGACTACTGGTCCTTTCTCCAATGACCACAGCTCTGGTCCTCATATCTTTGTGCAGATCCATCCTCTGGCCTTGAATAGCCTTTGAAGCCTCCGACTCTGCAGGCATCTTTCCGTGCCTCTATCACATGAGATTGTGTTAGTTTTGTCAGCCATTGAGTTCCCAAGACCTAATGCAGTGATTGACATATCAGATAACTGCAGTAAACATTTGTTGCATCCATATCTTGCTTCCAGGGATTGCTACCTGGCATTTTATCAGAAAGGACTAGAGATACTGAGATGAATCTGGTTCTTTAACGACCATAGTTGAATCTTTTCCCTTGATGGTTTCCTTTCAAGTACTTACTTGTCTGCTAAAGCATTTCACCTTCATTAATGAGAAAAATTGTGCTAAAACATTGTGTCCTTTTTAGTTCAAGATTTATTTTAATATATTTAATTATGTGTAGATTGTGTGCCAGTGCCAACAGAGCTAGACAATTTGGATCTCCTGGAACTCAAGTTATAAATGGTCATGAATTGCCTGATATGGGTGCTGGGAACTGAACTTGGATCTTCTGGAAAAGCAGCAAGTGGTTTAAACACCAAGCCATCTCTCCTAAACATTAGTTTCCTCTTTAAACAGCAATTTTTATTGACAAATAAGAACTTTATGCTTATTGTGTACAGCATAATATTTTTAAGAGTCTGATTCTTACTAGGTATACTGCCTTGAACTGCTTTCTTAATCATTCATGCCTCAACTTCTTTACCCCGTGTGTGAGAGAGATAGTCTCACTAAGTAGATCATATTAGTCTGAACTTGTAGCAATCCTCCTGCCTCTGCCAAGTCGAGTTTTCTTATTTTTTAAAAAGGGTGTGTGTGATAAGAGCTCTTCTTTTTTAAGGTTGTGGTGAGGGTTAAATGAGATGTTTCTACTATCTGGAATATTTTCTCCTCAGATTTCCCTGCCTTCACATCTAAGACATAGTTCAAAGGGCAGGACCTCAGAGGCCTGGTCCCTCCCCAGTTTCCCATGTCACCGTCTTTGAAGTTCTTCATAGCATTTGTCACTATCTGAATTTATCTTTATTTACTTATTTGCTTACTAGCTATGTGACCTCAATTTCAGAGTCCCTTTCTTCTTGCTACTATTTCCTTGGTATCCAGAGCCTGGTCTGCATGTAACTTCACTGCATAATAAATAGTTAAGTTATTCACTTCCTCTTGTTGCTCCAAGCCTTTGAGAAAGCTAACGGACAGCTATACTTTGGGGCTGCTTTCTGACAGTTTATATGTTGGGGATGGGAGGGCTTTTTATCAAAGTACTGTAAAGCTGATGATCCAGCTCAGCCTTGGGAACCTAGCCTCGGACCATTGGAACGTGACTTGTCTGCTTCCCAGAATCACTGGAGACTTGAAGATAGCCAGCTTATCCTTTCTGTACATAAAAAGTGGTAGAGCTGGAGATCAAACGAGGGAGACTTAGCGCTAAGCTCGTTGGTGGTAAACAGAAGACGGGAAGTGGAGATAGAGGGGAAGAGATTCTCCTGGGAAAGGCTTTGGAGAGGAACCTGAGGGGGTGGGAAATCATCCTAGAGAGAAAAAGCAAGGCACTGATGGCGGCAAACCATGTAGATTAACTCCTGGCCCACAGATAAAGTGAGATATGTGTTTATGAAGCAAAACCATTCAACTGATACTTTTGTGCCATCAGAATTTTATTATTTTTTTAAAAGATACAAAAATAGTAAAAAAAAAAAAAAAGGAAGGCATAATCAGCTATATATGAATCGGCCCTTCACAAAATTCTTCTTAAAAAGCCATAATGGCATCTATCTGACTGGCAGTAGAAAATGCTATATACTAATGCTAGGAACAGGTCTTTCAGAAACCTCCAAATCTGGGCACTACACGGGTTTCCTCATGCCATCTGAGTGAACACGCGAGTCCCAAAAGTAGTCAGTGGTGTCAGACGACTACACAAGATGGGCCTCCGAAGACTCTGTCCCTGACGTGGGCCTTAGATGCTCTTCTGCTGGAAGACAGAAGGTGGACAGCTGCAGTTAACTTGCGGGCTCGGCTCTGGCAAGCTGAACACGTGGTAGGACATCTCATTCTTCGGGGTCGCGGCGTTGTTATTGTTTCCAGCTTTCGTGGAGTAGGGCTTGGTGAGCCAAGGGGACCGTCGAGGAGCAGCACACGACACGGGGATCACATATCTAGATGATGAGGTCTTCGAAGCATAGTGAATCTCCGAGCTGTAGATAACCACATCTGGAGAGACGGCCTTGACGCGGATGCCACATTCCGTCACGCGGTAGGTAAACTCGTAGAAGTGTGGGTGAACTTGGTTGGGAGGACATCCCAGGCCCAAATGCACCTCATAAAAGTGGACGTACACATCATTATTCAGCAAGAAGGGGTGGACTGTGACCATGAACCAATCGGTCGAGCACAGCACATCCACCTGATTTTGCTCCGAGACGCTGTAGAACATGGAGAAGAAGACCATCGTTGCGAGGAACTTGAAGAGCTTCATTGTTGCCGTTGGTTGGGTAGCAACTCACAGGAGGCAAGAACGCGTCCGAGAAGGAATTCTAGAACACATAAAAATACAAGAGGCAGGTTACCTTATGTCTTACGCAAAGTTCCAGGATGCGTTTTTGAAGAAGAACCCAGGGATGAGGGGAACTTCCATGTAAGGCAGAAATGAATTTGTGGTAGCTCACATGGTAAAGATAACTAACATGGCGCCTTGGGAATTTATTTATTTATTCGGTGGCACTTTGGATGAAATCCAGGCCCTCTTGCATGCAAGGCCAGTGTTCCAGCTTTGAGATACACGGGCCTGGGATGGCAGTGGTTTCTCTAAGTGGCTTTCTCATGCTGTTCTGGTCCGAAGCACACATCCCTCCCTCTCATGTAGCATGAGAGCCCGCACTGATCAGGATAATGGTCCCATTTTGTGTACATTGGCATAAAACCCAAACAGTTTTCATGTTAAACACAAAATCAAGGCATAGGAAATAGAGTTTAATTCAAATGAGCAACCTAGTCTGCTTTAATGGCTGTGATGTCCTCATATATATTATCCCAACGAGCCCTTCCTCATGACCTTTTTTCTTAGCAAACAAATTGAATTTTAAAATAGAAGTAGAAGCTTGCAGGCAAGCCTGATGACCTGAGTTCAATCTCTAGAACTCAAATGGTGGAAGGATAGACTCCTGATAGGTGTCCTCTGCCCTCTCTGCCCTCCAGACACTTGCTGTGGCAAGCACATACCTCCCCAAAGTCGAATATAACAAATTCTTCAAAAATCAAGGAGAGATTGCATTTTATTCCTGACAACCACACATTGAAATTGGATGAATGGCTCAATTAAATACAACCAAAAGAATTCATCTGGTACTCCATCAGTAGCATTGTAACTCAAGATGAGCAAAAAATTCTCTGATATAGTGGGGCATTTTGTTAATCAAAGAAACTTTGGGAACAACGAGAGAGGGAGAGGGAGGAAGAATGGAAGGAAAAGAAAGAAAAAAACAGCTGGAGCTACAAAGTGAGACTTTCTCAAAATTGAAAAATAAAACCAAAAGCAAATAAAAACAAAATTCTGAGCCTTTTGTGGTGGCTTACACTGAAATCCCAACAATTCTGAAGTAGAAGCAGGAGGATTGTCACAAGTTCAAGGCCAGCTTATACTACAGAATCAGACCCCTTCTCAAAAAATACATCCAATCATGCTGCTCTTAATTTTACATTTTAAATGCATATTGCATAAAACTACTTAAAAGAAGTGCTATATTTAAAAGGAATCATATTGTTTTTGTTGTATGTGTAGATTGATCAACTGGCTCCTAAAATCTTTGTTTTGGATTCATTTGTGCTTGCTAGCTTTTGTGTTCTTTTTGTCTTTTGCCCTGAAAAGAGTAGTAGACACAGTGGCAGGGAGAAAGGAACAAAGCTAAGAAGAACTGTCTGAGGCAAGGCAGCAGAGGGAGGCAACAAGGGGAGAAAGAAGTACACCATCAAATATCCAGCTTTCACTTTAAATGTGGAAAACCACATAAATCAAACAGAAAGTGCCTAAAAATTGGAAGGAAATGCATGTGCATAAGTGTAGGGATTAACTTTTGTTCCCTGCTAAGTATTCCCCATATAGATGATTTCATCCTTTGACTAATATTTATTGAGTGTCTACTATACTCATAGCATCAGGCTAAAAAGCCCCCCCCCCCCAGGACATTCCCTTTTCCCATCTGTAAATAGGCAGCTCTTTCTCTGCCTTTGCTCTTGACAGATGTGAAGAATTCTTGAGTGGAAAACGTGGTGTGGAGGCCCACTAGAAGAGTGTACTCTCCTGGATGAAGTGCTTTGTTTCTGATGGGGACCGCTTGCTTGCTTGCACTGTGTTGCCTCTCTTCCTAATGACTCTTCATTCTCTCTGTAGTATCGGGTGTAGTGTTGGGAGGGGGTAAAAAGGAACCAAAGGTGACTTCTCTGTGCTTTTTCTTTATTCTGAAGTGTCGTTGCTGAGACTGGCTGATTTTTCCCCATAAAGCAACAATAGAGATAGCAGCAGCAGCAGCAACAAGAACAAGAACAAGACCACACACACACACACACACACACACACACACACACACACACACACACACACAGAGAGAGAGAGAGAGAGAGAGAGAGAGAGAGAGAATTACCCCACTACTGTCACCTTATTATCTGTGCCTAAAGAAACCACCCTGTCCTAAGCATGCTTTAGAAACGGCTTTCTCTCTCTCACCCCTCCCTTCCTTTTGTTCTCCTTTTCCCTCTCCCTTGCATCCCTCCCCTTTCCTTACCATGATCTCAAAACCTGGGACCATCTGCCTTGAACAAAACCCTTCTCCATAAGCAGCCTCTGGAATAGGCCAAGGAAACAATTCTTTCATCCCATTTTTGTTCTCAGGCTCCAAAGTGAGGCTCCAGCTGAAGGCCGTTCTGGTCCAGGAGTTAAGCTTTCCATTTCCTCTCCCAAGCATCCTTCATGTAGCCCCCCTCTCCCTTTCTCTCATGAATAATCCAAATAAAGTTACCAAATGCATATATTCTCCAAGAAGCAAGACAAATTGGTCCCCAGGCAATCATTTCAGACTATCTTCTTGCTCCATGCCCACTTTTCAAGTTCCACTGCTCTCATTGAGTCTGAAAGAGGGGCTTTGGTGACTGCACTGTTTCCATAATCATTTAGTACAAATCTCCAAACTGGGGCAAGATAGAAGCTGCTTCCTCCAGTTTCCTTTGAGCCAGCAGCAACAGATTGCCACGTAACAGGGGCAATAAATGAAGATGCCTATGTGTATGACAACACACCTCCGGACTCAGAAAAGACTTTAATAAAAGTCAGGGCAAACTGTGCTCGAGGTCCCATAGCCCTGGGGGAGAAGTGAAAGGCTAGAGATTAAGAGGAAAGCAGAATGTACTTAATAAGGAGCTTGCTAAGTCAGAGCCCGGTACTTCAAGGCTTGGCTCCCTTTTGCTGAAGGCACATCATAAAAACCAGAACAGCCTCCTTTCCCCAGCTGCCTGCTCTTTGCAGGGACAGTGAGAAGGATGTGCGTATGTACACCCACACGGCAGTCATTTGTGACGGGAATGGCTGTAAGTCACTCGCTGCCATGTGTGACCTTCCTAACACCTAGCTGAGATGGGCCAGCAGCATAGGATCTAAAGAAGGGATGGGGAAGACTTTGGTTGCAGGGGCCGAAGGCAGCTGAACGACTAAGAAGGGAAGTGGGAGACTATAGAGTAGGTGCCAGGCTGAAGGTATTTCCAGCTCTAGTTGGAACTGTACACAGCAGCTCAGGAGCTGTGGAATGCGAACAGAATTGCAGCTAAACTCTCCAGAAATCTTCAGCGCTGAGGGGCAGTTAGAGACCGAGGAGGAGGGAAACACAGAGACAGCACGGCTCACCTTGTGATTACTGTCCGCTTCTGGCAGGTGGGCTTAGAAAACAGGTTTTAGAGTATGGATTACAGGAGCCCCATTTGGCCTTGACTGCACATTTTCTCTGCAGTGAGCTGAGATTCATTGGTTTAACCCAACAGGGCTCAACTATGGAACATACCCCCCTGAACCCAGCTATAGAGCAGCCAGGCAAACTCTTCTAACACCTGGATGCAAAATGTTTGTTTTCCTTGCAGTTACTGAGTACAAGGAGCTTTCTGTTTTCTTAAATGTGGCTTATGCATATACATTTCCCAGCAGTTCCTTCAGCAAACATTTCCCTTCGCTTCCCTTCCTCTCCCGAAGGTTTCCTAGATTTGCACGAATCATGGATGAGTCCTTTACATCGAAAATTCATGCGATCAGTGCTAGGGAGATGGCTCAGTGGGTGAATTGCTTGCATGGCAAGCATGAGGACCAGCTCTCCAGGAGATAAAACAGCAGTATGACTGCCTGTAATCCTAGGGAAGGCGGTGGGGCAGAAAGCAGAACCAGTCAATCCACAGGGCAGGCTGAATAGCCAGGCTAGACTATAAACGGTAACCTTTAGGTGCGGCGAGAGATTACAAATGTGTGTCACCGTGTCAAGCTTCCTACAGGGAATGGCTGAAAAGGCTACTTATGCAGCTCGGCACTGCCATGTTTAAAGTGGCGAAAGGCAATTTGAATAACAGAATGGATCCAGCCGTCCCTCGCTATCTATGGAGGGCTGGCTCCAGAAGCTCGGGGTAATACCCAAATCTGTAGATGCTCAGCTTTCTTATATAAGCAGCATACAATCTAGCCCCATCCTCCAGGACACTTTAGCTCACGTCTAGCTTACTTAGAATACCTGGTACAATGTAAGTGCTATGGAAATAGTTGTTAGGTTATACTCTTCAGGGAATAATGGCAAAATGTCTATATATATGCAGTACAGCGCCAATTATTTTTCTCTAATATTATCAAGCTGCAAATGTGCCTATGGAATGAAAAGTGCATCTTTATATTGTTGAAATAATTTATGGGGAGCAATGTGATATTATAATATAGTTGGCTCAAATTATTTATTATATCCATCACTTTCTAGTCTTCAGAAAAACAGTGGTTCTCAACCTGTATGTCGAGACCCCTTTGGGGATCGAATGGCCCTTTCATGGGGGGGTCACCTAAGACCATCTACATAATAGATATTTACAGTAGAATTCATAACAGCAGCAAATTACAGTTCTGAAGTAGCAATAAAAATAACTGTATGGTTGGGGTCAGCACAACATGAGGAACTGTATTAAAGGGTCGCAGCATTGGGAAGGTTGAGAACCACTGTTCTGAAAGTTAAAAATAGAACCTAGGGTGAGCAGGAAAGGTGAGGCAGTGGTTAAAGGCAACAGAGCTTCATTGAGACTGGAATAATCTGTTTGTTGGTTGGTTTTACAAGCATAGGGTATGTGTGTGACTTTCTGTGTGCATGTGGAGCCCAGAGGTAGACTTCAGCTGTATTTAGCTCTACTGTGCTCTGCCTTATTTAAAAAATGCTAAGAGCAAATCTTAATTTTTCTTACCATCAATCTATA